GAGGGCTGATTTTGCGTAAACGACCATCTTTGGTCATTCTTTTGGGTTGCGACCAGTTATCCCCCACAACCTTAACATCTTCGTCTCCGAAGTGCTGAAAGGTCGTGTTTGCAAAACCAGGTCTTTTATTATTTGAAAAACAAGAAAATAGTTAGTGGTCAAGTGAATACCGTTTGGTTTTTAGTTAAAATAAGCCGGCCCGGCTTCGGTGATGTCTTAAACCATTCTTGCCGAGATAGCCTTAGCGTATCTTTCAGTTGTCGAAGGGCTATTTTCGTAAAAGAACGAACAAGTTTGTGAAAGGTCGTAAAATAGTCCTTCCCGGCCTTAAAATTCATGTGAAATTGAGAAGGGGCCACGTCTGAAAAACAACCATTTGGTTAAAATTGGCATATAGGGGAAGGAATCTGGCTGTTTGTTTTTGAGTTTGTAATTCTTTGATTAGAGTATGCGAGTTATTTGATTTTCGAGTTCGTTTGTTGTCTTTTGTCAAAGTCTGTTAGTATGGTCAGCTTTTAAACTTTTATAATCAAGCTTGTTTTATTAGGAAAATTGAAAAAAATAATACAATATTTTATTATTATTTATCTTTTATTGGTCCGAAATACGCAAGGTCTGATTCATGCGGGAACATGATACGTAGACAATCTACATAAGGTTCGACCACCGCTAAAAAAGAAAAAAAAGAAATTGAATAAAAGAAAAGAAAAAGAGAGAGAGAAAAAAAAGAAAAAAGAAAAAAAGAGGAAATAGAGGGTTTCCGAAACACTTGAAAAAGGCACAAATAAAACAAGCCGGGAGGATGCATGCGGTAGGAGCAAAAATATGTTAGAAATTGTTAACTCCCTAAGAACATTGCATCCCCCAACGTGCAATTGCAATATATGTTAAAACCCTAACGCTAACAGGTTTGTTGTTTGTCCAATTCCAAACTGTTAGTTGTTAAAGCGTACTGGCACCATACCATTATCAAACAAGATCAAAAGGGCATATACCAGAAAGCATGACTGGCTCAGAAAATAGTGTTGAGTCGGAAAGGACGGCACATCAGATGCTGAAGGAGGCGATGGCCAATATAGAAAAAAATGAGATTGGAAATGCATGAAATGCAGCTAGCCATGGCTAAGGTGCAAAAGGGGCCCGAACCACTCGTCACTCCTACTCCCCCACCGGAACACACGCCGGAATACCCTTCTCCCGGCCCTTCAACAAGCTTCCCAAGCTACCACTACTATCAGGGAAGAGATGCCTATGATCCCCAAGCTCCGCCACCCAATCAAAACCCTCCACCACCAAATGTTCCTGTCTTTGTGGCACCTCTCCCAGCCACATTACAAAGATCGTCTAGTGAACCACTGTTCCAAGTTCACGACACCCAATATTTTCCTCCTGAACCCACTTTTAAAGCTCCTGAGCCATACACATATACACCCCAATTTGGGATCCTAGAGGAAGCTGAGAAACCGGTTAAGAACACAGAACACGAGGAGGTGATTTGAAAGGTCAAAAGCCTGGAGCAATCCTTCAGGAACATGCACGGGTTAGCCCACCAGGTCAGCGTGGCCTACAAGGATATATGCCCTTTCCCTGATGTCCAATTGCCGGCAGGGTTCAAGATGCCCAAGTTCAATTTATACGAAGGGCATGGCGATCCTGTGGCACACCTACGGGGTTTTTGTAGCAAGATGAGAGGAGATGGTGGCAAAGACGAGCTGTTGATAGCTTACTTTGGCCAAAGCCTAAGTGGGTCAACACTGGA